GTCAACTGACCGAGTAACACGTCAGAAAAGTTTATAAAAAAAAACACGAATAAAAATAGCCTAACCTTGAAAACGTGTGTGAAAGGTCGCAGAATCATTAGCCCCTGAGGAGTTTTGCTCTCCTTTCCACACAATAACCAGCGAAAACATGCCAGAAATTTCTCAACCTCCGTCGCGCGGGAAACTCCGAAAACACTGCGACTTTGAGGTTAACAAGACGCGGAGTCCGAAGATGTCCGTCCTCTAGGCTGCTGTGCCGAGTAGCCAGGTAGTTGACCAGCGTTTCGGAGGTCCTTTCTGCCTCCATCGCCGTGAAGGATGGATGACGGCAGCAAAGACCTCCGAAACGTCGGAAAAACTACCAGACGGTACGATACAACCCCGAAAGACAGCAACACTCAGGACTAAATACGCAATACAAAGGGTTTGTACGCACTCGATAGGAACAAATTCAGACCCTACCTGAAAGAAAACAAGTCGTCTTCAGGACAACCAACAGTTGATGAAAGGTGAGAATATTTCGTATCACTTACCGAAAGTTTCGAGACAGCTTGAAAAAAAAAAGGGTGGGGATAATTTTTTCGGGAACAAACTGTTGTGGCGGCGAAATAGAATCTGCCACAATTGCACGTGACAGCTGCTTTCGGCATTGCTCAAAGCTTTGCGGGTGTACACTCGAGGGAGGTGACTAGTTCGCGTATTCCCTGGGTCATCCCGTGAGAACTGTTCTTGACGTGAGATCAACAGAAACTCGTGCACCTGTCACCTATCAGATATTCCTGGTGAAGTGAAACTTTTTACAGCACGGACAACCGACCAAAGAGTCCTCCAGTTCATTACCGGTCGCCACTCGCGGGTGTCCTGGCTCAGAGGCTAAAACCCGATTCGATTCCGGGAAGTTTCTCGAAGCCAACTTGTCCAAATACGTCGTGGCCAATCCTAAAACCGGGCGGGCGGTTTTTTTTTTTTTTTGCAGAATCGCAAACCATTCACCTCCACGGTAAGAATGCGCGTACCTTCGACGCCCATTCACCAATGCAATTAAGATTATTAAGTTTCCGTACAAAAATTATCAAGGATGATTCAAAACACAAGATCGAGTAGAGAATTATCGGAGATTTGAGGTTCTCACGAACGTGTGAAAATGAAAACTGCGGGCTGAGACACCGTGCGGTCACCAAAGTCTGAACCCCAGCTCTGAAGATGGCAAATACGTTCCTGCGAAACGCTTGTCATATCCATCGACAAGGCAAAACTGCGTCAGAGCCCATGAATACCACTAACAGGTTGACAGATGACCCATTAAAAGTGTTAAAAGGGAGCCCTCCTGAATAATTAGATAACTTATTCCACTTTTGAACTAACCCAGTAACTGACTTACGTCCTACCATAGTCGAGCTTTGAACATCCCAAAGTCACATGGAAAATTAAATAGATGCTCACATCGGTGGAGCACGAACACCGTCCTCAGGAGGACGTGATGTTGCACAGTGTCGTCTGAATAAACCCGACGTTTCGGCACGATGCAACATCACAAAATACTTTCACGCAAAGTCTTATAAATTGACGGAATTTCTGAATAGCTCAGTCGGCTCACGATTTCCGCGCAGTCCAAAGGTCAGACATCCGTGGCGGGTCATTTGTTCACGACCAAGGGCTATTTACTGACGCATTTTTACACCTAAAGAACACACGAAAACACAGAAAAGTGTACCCGTGGAAGGAAATCTACGCTTTTCATATTAGGAATAATCACGTAAGTGAACTCGTTACATGGCAAGATGTCAAGTCACTTTCTGAGAATAGTGGGACATGTTTGAAATAGGCGTTGTTGCCATGTGGTCGTAAGGAATTCGTACATGCATGCCGTGATGCCACATCGCACACAGATCAGATCACTAATGAGCTTCAAAGACTATCGTATATTAATCAGACGTCCAAGTCTATAATTAGTCACAGTTGTAAGGAAGTCAATTTCCGGAATGTCGTGTACTTGGAAAAACAGGATGTCTCACTCAGCAGTTCCAACATTCATTGCCACATAAGCATGAATTGGAAGGCCATAAAAGTTGCGGTGGATTGGAAAATGTATGCAAATGCTGAGGACACCTTCGATCGACACCAGAACTGGAAATATCACCGATCACAATAAAATATACCCACTTTCATAATCACACGTAAACTAAACCGAATACAAAGTGGTACTCGAAACAACTTCAGACAAGAACACTGCGTACCTTCGAGACCCTTTACTAAACCTGGAGTCCACGAGCCAGGCCAAAACTTGCATAATTAAAACTACTAGAAACAAGTTTGTAAAATTTCCAAATGTCAACCAGACGTTCTGTTGGTGTCTGTACGCCAACAAACGATCAGTTCAAAGAATCTTTTCGTCTTAAATCGCACGTCCTGTTGGGTTCGGTTACTCAATAGATCGCGTGTCGGAAGACATGATTTGAGGAAATGAATCCAAATTTCAAAAATTTCTTTTGCGCCCAGACCTGAAATAACGTTAGAATGAAAACATGGAGGCCACAACTACACTCCAACCCCACAGGGGTTCCTCTACGAAGCCTGCGATACAATGTACGAGCAGTGACATTGCAGAAGTTGAGGTCAGGATACCGAAGGTGGGAACAGTAGAGAGGACCTCCCTGTTAAAATACAAGACAGGCAAATTTCTTGATGGGTTCAGCGACAATTTCTTTCGTTGAGGATGGGGTAAACAATGTCAGACGCACAAGGGGGGGGGGGGGGGACTCGGGCAGAAGTCATCTGATCTGAAATTGTTTCAACGGGCTGTGCTCCATTTCCTGAAATAACTCTCTCTTTTCAAGCCTGCTTCTAAACGCCCTCTTCAATATTTCTCAGCAGCTTTTCTCTCGTGGCATACAATCCTACTTTGCCAACACGTACAAACAACTCTTCCTTCAGCTGCTGTGAAAGCGTCTGTACTACCAGACCGAAAAACATTGTACCCAACCATAGAAATAACGTTCAATTATACGAAAATAAAAATCTGCAGACACAATTGACGAACTCCAAATAAGAATGTTCCATGTAAAAAAAATAAGTGTGACATGGAAATTATAGGAAGACAAAATGACACTTAGATCACGAAAACCCGCGAAAAGTCGAATAAAAGTTACGCCTACTAAAATTAAAAAAAGAAAACGTTTCAAAATATATTTACCTTATACAACATATCACCAAACTCGTACAACGTCGACGTTGGCATCACTGCAGTAGACATGATGCAAATTATAAACGACAAAATAATGTAGAAATTTTTGCAGAAGAATCTTTAATACCAAAAAAAAAAATCTTCTTTGCACTTTTTTCCTTGTTTTAAATACGTTTCCGATGGAATTGTAAACTAAAAATGAAAACAAAACAACAACAAAGCACTTCACCACTGTTCGGTGTATTGTCGATGTGTCTGTCCTACCTACGGTTGCAAAGTTATAAATGAATTCACTTGTAAGCCCACCGGACAGCTAGTGCGCGTCTCTGTCCACGTCTTTACCGTCCAACCTACTGCGTCGTGGCTCGTAACTGCGTCCCGTGAAAACACCAGCCGACGAGAACGGTGGGGAGGCGACAGCCAATAGCATCGCTCTCCTCGACGCTGACGTCATAACGGAGTCGGAATCCTTGTGGCAGAGATCTTCCTCGTCATGGGATGCAACTATGGACCACCCACCCAATTCCCCACCCTCGCTCTGTCCTAGTGATAATAACTTTTGATTTCGTCCGTAGCTCGTTCTCTCTCGTGTTTTTTCTCCGTCGTCAGTCCAAAAACTGGTTTGGAACGTGAGATGCAGGTTAAAAAATGTCTGAAGAGGCTGTGATACGAAGATGACTGTCTTCTGGGTTGCAGAGTACAGATTTATCGACGGTACAGAGGAACGTGCTGCCTCGATTGTCAGGGCGATGATGATGGAGGCGGCAAGGACCTCTGAAACGTCAACAGACGTTTCAGAGGTCACAACGCCGCCTTGAGAACCTGAAATCCTACCAATCAACACTTTCACTATCAGTGCTACTTGTAGAAGAACACGTGGCCAGTTGTCTATCGGTTTTTACTCGATGGTAAATCGGCTGGAGCTTGAAGTTAAACACTCTACCGTCTAGTAGCGAGGTTAAAAATGCCTGACCTTGTAAATTCTTTTACGTACCTCGTGGTCTCGGTAAAGAAATAAGGACTCGCCTGACATCAGGCAACCCGCACATCTAAATGTCTCAGCGGAAGTATTGTTCGCATAGTGCGAAAGTGGTCTAACGCCTAATTTGCAGATCGACAGCGAATTTCTCACGGCCGTGAGGACAAAGATGGCTGTCTTCTGGGTCGCAGCAGTCTGATGGAAGTTTATAACGGTTCAGAGGTCCTTGCTGCCTCCATAATCAGGGCAGCGTTACGTCGGTAAGCTTCTAACAGATCACAAGGCCCTACAACGCACATGACAACCATTTGAGTTTTTATCGCCTTCATTAAAGACACGTCTTCAGCTGCAAATGTTGATGGAAGGATGAATTGGAGGGAATGTGAAAGGAAACGATTGTGACAGAGTATCGGGTATTGCACCGCAGAGGGACACGAGCTAAAATGACTGCTTTCGGGGCGTGTTATCTAGGTTCGATTCCCGGCGGACTAGTATTTTCGTAAGCACGTCCACACCAGTTGTCAGGCCCCGGGAATCTTTGTCGTAAGGCAAAGCTGCCGGAGAATGAGGTGACAGTTTCACGTTCGTTTTATGCTGAGGTTAAGATAACGTGGATATTATCCTCCGTAAGTTTTCATGACGAAAGATACCTTCGCCTTTCATTCCGTTCTAGAGGAATCTGTTTCAACGTCAAGTTGAATTCTTCTCCTCGTGTTCCGTGTGAACAGAGTTCATTCTCGTCCTCTGATTGGAAAACTTGTGGCCGTGTTCCATTTTAAAGGCGATTGTAATCGTAGGCCCCGTCACTCAAAAACCGCAGTTTCGGAACACCAGAGAAAATGTCTCTAAAAGAATTTCTCGTTGTTATTTCTCGCATTTTCATTGCCTTGACCCTGGAAAGTGAAGTTTGCTTTTGAGATGTGAATCTCACGGAAGAAAGCAAGCACGCACGTGTGTGTGTCTCGGCTGATAATTAGGAAAGAGAGTGAAATTCGTGTGAGAGTTGGGAAAGTAATGTGGACGACGAACACCGCTCACAGGTGAAAGTAAAGGTTGGCCTTGGCACTTTCTTCACGGTCGATACCCGGTCGGTACCCTCACGATTTCTCTCTGTGACAACTCCACGCTTGATCTTTGCTAAGTTGCAAGATCAGCGGACCCTAGACGCTAACCCGGGCGAACTACAGACTGTATCTTAATCGCTGGTACTATAATTTACAAATGAAATTTTATGAAAAAAAATTCAAAAATTTTGGTCGTTTAACTGAAGGGTCCGCAAATTTCGAAGTGTATGTATGATGTGTTAACACGTCATACCAACTAGACAGGTTTAAAAGAACAGGTTGTGACGATGAGGACTAGTTTGGTGTGATTCTATATGAGCTGTTGTTGTTAACAAGATGAGACCTCTGTTTCCATAAAAGGCGTTTGTGTGAAGTATGTTCAGTCAGTGCACATAACAGATAGGGTATATTTTTTTTCAAACAGCTGTTTTTTTCTCGTAAAATCTTAGGTCCGCGGTAAAAATAGTTTTCCACTCATGCACCACGCTGTAATGAAATTCTCTAAATATATGTTTAATGTCTCACAGGATTTATTACTTTGGTTGTAAAAATGGAGTCATGATTCATCTCGTTACGTTTATTCGGTTGCTGGCGTGGGTGTAATTTAATGACGCACTCTTCGAATCGAATATAGGTCATTTCATTTTACCTGACGATGCATTTATATAATTTTCCTTATAGTTGAATAGTTTATAAATAAGTAGCGACGTCTTTCTCGAATAACGCGTCTGATGCAAGTGTCTTCAAACACTGACACATTTGTGTAAATAAATTTAAGGCACGTTGAACTTAGGAATTGGGAACATCGTCGTCGTATTGCAGATTTCTCGCATTGTCATGGAATAATGCGCTTTAGTCTAGAAAGACGAATAGGGAGTCACGTACGCCGATTCCCAGTAGAAGAGTCTCCTAAACTATGTTCTTATCATTGTGGGTCTAGGTTACCCCCAGTGATTACGTGCTCCTTCGCAAGTGAGCGCCATTTGGGTCACCAGTTGAAATTCGTAAATATCTGCTTCCGCGTTTAATATTTTTAATCCTGACATGTATTTTCCCTGGTAAGACTTTATGTACCTTATAACAGTGAAAGGAGGCAGACACGTGTCCAAGGAAGCCAGGACTCCACACTAAGTGTTTTGCCATACATCATATAGTGTATGTAGCTGCATTATTTATTTAGAATAGAAGTATTTTATATCTGATAAAATTATAAAACAAATATTTCATCTTCCTAATAGGAAATTATATTTTTTTAATTATTTTTGGCGCATAGAGCAATCCACCACTGACATTTGCAGATTATTTCGTCTTCTTATCAAGCATATATACAGCTTAGTGGCATTTAAATAGACCAGCAGAGAGCCCTAATGGGATTCAGCCCGTACCGCGAAGAAAACAAAATACTTCACGTCTAAAAAGATTAACGCTGTTTAAGGAGATGATCACTGTTTACGCTGAGAATTATACGAAACCCATAAAACATGAAGTGTTACTGATTGCTGAAACAGGTGGTACATATAGTTACCGCTGGACTTTAAAGGGTTAATCGAATACTGGAATTTAACAGCACTAAAACACAGTATGTTTAAAGAGTGTGAATCGGCTTTCACAGATTGAGGATGTCTGGAAAATAAAAAAACAAGGTGCTCTGAGAGTGTTTTGACCTAAGAGAGGTGACCGGAGAAACCTCATAATTTGTAATCTTTACTAGATATTATTATGGTGAGAGGGGTCAGATTGGCAGAGCATGTAGCTAGCATTCATTGTAGAGATTTTGGTTGGTTAGCCTGAATTTAAGAGATCACCCGGGCGTAGATGGGAGGATAATATTAAAATGGATCTTCACGTCTTAGATTAAGAAGGTGTGGCCCAGGATACGGTTCAGTAGAAAGGATTTTGTGAACGGGGAATGGATCTTGGGGTTAAATCAAAGGCTGGAATTTCTTGAAACGCTTAGCGACTGCCAGAAGTCCGTTTATGATATAAATAATTTGAAGAAAAAAAAAATTAAAAATTAGCAGAATTTCAGTTAACTGGTGCAATTAGATAATGGCGATTACTGCAGTGACAAATGGCGTAAATTCTGGTGTTTTAGAAAGTTTTTTTTTTAAGTGTGATCGTATTTATCTCTACGTGAAGAAGTTCAAGCCGGTTCTGTCACCCGGGAAGTCTGTTCGAGTCATCACACGACAGAAGTACAAATAAGGAAATGGTTGAAAGCCGATTACGTCTGAAGTGATTAACTGGTGGGTCGTGGTCCGGCTGTGGCAACCAAAGTTTCAGCTAAAACAATTTCTAAAAACGTGTTATTTTAGCAATCTAGGTTATTTCAAGACGACGATACAACTGTAGAGGTTGTATAATCTACTGAAGCTGGAATACGGCTATGAATTATGGATTCCGAAGGCGGAGAACTGTGCTCTATCGCCGGAGGGACTGAGGAAAGGCACGAACATATTTAATGTGTCCCGTATGAGGCTGGAACCGAGTACGTCTCAAATTGAAGGTGGTTTTTCGCTACAGAAACGCGCTTCGATGTTAAGTGCTTCGGATATGGATTCTCAGTTCAGACGCCGCAGTTCAAGCGCTCGGTTTGTGGAGATAACGTGGCATTTGTCTGAATTCGTACCCCCACGCCCCGCCCCCACCTCGGGCCTCAGTCAAGACACCATGGAAACCCCCCTCCCCCGGTATATCTGTTTTGGTACCTTAGAGGTTACACTTTGCGAAATGTTTATTTTAATTGTGTAATTATTCAATGCGACATAATTTTTTGAATCTTTGTATGCTCAGTATTTATGTACACGCTTTGTAATATGCTAACCTAACCTAACCTAACCTAATTTAACCTAACCTAACCTAAAATAACATAACCTAACCTAAACTAACCTAACCTAAACTAACCTAACCTAACCTAACCTAACCTAATTTAACCTAACCTAACCTAAAATAACCTAACCTAA